GTCATTAATTGTGTGTATTTATTTTTTATTTAGTCATCTATACCAAGAAAAACTGGACCTTCTTTTCACTGGAGTAATGTATCAATATAAAAGAGCAAAGTAAAACTTTATCAAATGACAGTATAAATAGATAACAATCATTAAAAAGTATGCAAAGAGAGGTAAGAGTGGTGGTTATGTAGATACAAAATACTTTATAAATTATTAAAATTAAGCTTTCAAGAAAATATTATGATATGACTTCATTATGTAAGGCACAGGTCCACAGTAAAATAGCTATATATTTTGGAAAGAGTTGAGCTACTAGACAGAATCGTGTACTTTTTGAAAAGTGGAATAAAGGACTTTGAGATTAAGGTAAAACAAAGTTCAAAATCAAGAATAATTGTAAGTAATAATTAAGTTGAATAGGCCACAAAAGATGTTAGATTTCAAATTTACCTGAACAATACTCAAATTCAATTTTGAAGCACTTGAATTGAATTTTTTCTAAGTAATATTTTAGAACACAAAGAAAGTGTAATTTCAATATAGTTTTAAATTTAAAAATAAATTGACATGGTGACTTAAAACTTTAAAATTCTACATTTTATTACACATATTTCAACAATTGACTATTTAACTGGATTATAAGAATACCTTATTTCGATAGCAGGCATTTTAACAGAAACTAATTTCTAGAAATAAAATACTTCATCAAGAATAGTTCACTTAATGTATTTGAAAGGTGAGAAATATGACTCAAGAAACTAGAATGTGTGTTTTGCATGAGAGAGTCTTGAGTATAATCTCACCTCACCCAAGATTTGACCCTGAGTATTGATATGTAAGCATCAATCCACACATCCCCTACACACACTATATATGTTTTAAATAGTTGAATTTTACTGGTTAAAAATAGTTATTTTTCTTCACAAAAATGTGTATTAAAAATATAATCATGTTTAGGCAGCTAAACATTAATTCCAGATAGTCGCTTCTGTTAAATATCTTATATCATTAAATTGTGCTACTCTCTTCTTTATGGTTATCTATTGACATATATGAGAATTTCAATATGTGGTACTGTTTGATGTTATCCTGTTTGATAACAAGTTTTCCACAGTTAAAAATTATCTACTCATAGTTTTCTACTTTATTAATCTCATTTTTTTAACTTTTCTCTTTTACTACATTTAACTGGCTATGTCAAAGTGTTCTATAATCTTGCTTTCTATTTATATGCTGTGTCTTTATGTTTATTTAAAAGCCTAGAATAAAAATAGCATATAGTATTTCAAAAGAAACTTACACACAAATATTTTAGAAATAGACAACAAGGTATTTTTCTTCTGATCTTTTCTTTTTTAATATTAAAAAAAGTCAATCTCTTTTAAAAATCACTTGTAGGCTGCAGGTGGTAGCTGTATATGTTATCTACAGTACATAAATTTGTCCAAAATGAATGATATCTTTAAGAATCTATATTTAAAAAGTGAAGTAAGAAGGCAGATGCATATAAGGGGTAGTATTGCTATTTAAAGTCAAATGCAAAAATAAATAAACAAATAAAACCTAATGGTATGGAGGCGTTGGTAGTATTATTTAAGATTAATTTTTAAGTTTATTATTATAAGTTGCCAGAGTTCAACATAAGAGAGAGGCTATGCTGAGAAACTTTGTTTCTGGGGTATTGTAACAAAAGGTACCTTGGCTTCTGAAATTGGGAGACTATGATGCATCCCTGCCAAGGAACTCTGAAGTATCTGATTCTGGTTTAGTGTTGCTGATATTGTGAAGTGCCTCTACAAGAAATCACTCACTACTCAACTGCATTTAAGCACAACAGTTCAGAATCAACAAATGTCTCAGTAAAAGTCTCAGTATGGAGAGCTAGATATTTCACCTCAAACCTTTGATGCCCACATATTTAGACATACATACTTTTATGCAAACACACATACATACACACACACACACACACTTTGTTTGGTGATACTGGAGTGTATTTTATGCTGAACTTGAAGTTAGAAAGACAAGTAGGGAAAAAAATATCGTGTATAAAGTAGGAGAGTGTAAGAAAAAACTGAATATTTCAACCACTAACTATTTATAGGAGTATTAGTTCTTGTTTCTTTTAAGCATGAAGTACCTGGTGTAAAAATGATAAATCTATACCTTACCTAGAAATTGGAGTTATGGAAACATAAATCAGGAAAATGAGAGACATTGCCATTCAGTATCTCCTTTAGTCCAATGGGGCGATCCAACAGATGAGCAACAAGCTGTTTGAGTTACAAATTGGCTATCACTTTAATTTTATTTTCAAATCTAGTACAAAAATCTTTGCCAAATCATAAATATGCAGGAGAGGATGTTCTGAGTAATTACTTCAACCCAGTTAAGTTACATATCACAGAAATACAACGAACCACTTGTTCAATGAAGACTGCTGACAAGCAACCTCAAATATATGATTCACAATACTTGGGTTGAGACTCAAATCTTTTTTGTATATAACAAATTCCCAGGAGGTGTTGCTCCTTCTGTTCTGGGAACCACATATTGAGAATATCCTATTTAATTAGTATATGTGCATAACTGAAATAACAAGCTCTTGTGTGCTGATAATCCAATATTTCAATTAGATTGGTAATGTGTGGGGTTTTATTGGATGTTCTTTTGAAAATCTGCCATATCTATTCACAGCCTATATATGCTCTCCTATAATTAAGAATCATTTTGTAATTTTTGCTTAATTTGTATAGGGGTCACAGACAGTTCCTGGCAATATTCTCTGGCTAGGCTGTGCAGGCTTGCACTGTGGTACATGAACCTACAATGTCCTCAGTCTGGCTGTGTGCTCAGACCACCAGAAAGCTCAAGTGACGCAGAAAATTAAACACCAGGTCGAGCATCAACTACTATTTAAAATAAATCCTTGGTTCCAATTTATACAGCATTTTGAAACTTAGAGTGTATTGCTACTTTCTCTCTACCCAAATAATATTTAAAAAATTATATAGCATTTTTACTGTTTCTTAACACTACTTTATATTTGTTCCTTCTATAATTTCTATGTAACTCAATGAATCTGAGAACATTACAGTTTCTTTTCTTTTTCTAAATGCACCATGTATAACACTGTTAATGATATAGTTTTAGGAATACAATATCCCAATACCACACCAAGTAGAATGGGAGTATAACTCGACCAAGGTTTATTCCATTTTTATTCATGAGTGACATTATTTATAATTTCATATATTATTCATCTGGGATTTTGTTATAAGATCATAGTAACTAATATTATCTGTTAGACACTCCTCTTTTTGTTTTTTTCTAGAGTGTGGACTAGATTTATGAATCCTTAAATGTTTGCCAAAATTCCACCCTGAAACTTCCTGGGATTTTTTTTTTGTGGGTTGTTTCAGGGCATTTAGAATAGAGAAATGATCACAGTGACAATGATAGCACTGCACTGTAGCACTCTCCTCCTATTGTTTATTGATTTGCCTGCCCGGGCCCAGTAACGTCTCCATTGTGAGATTTGTCGTTACTGTGTTTGGCATATCAAATATGTCATGGGTAGCTTGCTAGGTTTTGCCGTGCGGGTGAGATACTCTCAGTAGTTGCCAGGCTCTTTGAGAGGAGCAGAGGAATTGAACCTGGGTCAGCCGCGTACAAGGCAAACACCCTACCCACTGTGCTATCGCTCCAGCCTACAACTCCAGTTGAAAACAATCACTCTTTACAAGAACTGAATGCTGGAAGTAGCTAAAGGGATAAACATTATAGCTTTTGACTATCTGATTTGGAAACTATAATGCAGAGAGAGAGAGAGAGAGAGAGAGAGAGAGAGAGAGAGAGAGAGAGAGAAAGATGCCTGCCATTAGAGGCAGGCTAGAGCTGGATGTGGAGTGGAGTGGTGGAAGGAAACTTCTGACGATGGTGGTGAGAAATGTGCACTGGTGAAGAGATGGGGGTATTGGAACATTTATGACTAAAAGCCAATCATGAAATATTTTGTTACTGTGTATCTCATAGTGATTCAATAAAAGAAAGTATTATTGATCAGAATAAAAAAAGCGATCACTGACAAAACATATCAATAGCACTCTAAACTACAGAATCTCAAAATCATTTTTTAAAACATATTGGCTTGTGTTGGCACCTACGCTTAAATATTTTTAATTTCATTTTTCATTTCATCATCCTGTTATTCGTCGATTGCCTCGAGCAGGCCCCAGTAACGTCTCTTTCATCCTAGCCCTGAGATTATACTCAAGGCTATTTAGGAGAGTGAGACCCATCATTGTTACTGGTATTTGGCATATTTGGTACGCCACGGCGAGTTTGCCAGACTCTGCCCTGTGGGCAGGCTACATTCGATAGCCTGCAAGTTTGTCCAAAGTAGAAATAAGACAATAAGATGTCATAAAAAAAAAAAGTTCTGTTAAGATGTCGGGGCGGGGAGGAAAGCTCAACCCGCTCCCCTCCAAGGGACTCCGGGAAGGAACACCCAGGCGCGGGGGCAGAGACTGCACTGTTCTCGTCCGGGATCTGGATTTTATAGTCTCTGAGTCTTGGCCGCTGATGGGATTACACGGCGCCAGGGGGCCAGGTGGTGGGTGTGACCCCCGCCTACTGGAATTTGGAGGATCTGGGTGGAAGATGCTTGACTCCAATTCGAGTAGGCTTGGAGGTCTCGGCCCCGGAACCCGCGTGGCTTTGTCCCTCTGCCAGTACCTTCATGTGTGCGGAGAGTGGTCTCAGCATGGTGGTGGCTGGTCCTGGAGGTCTTCGGCTGCCGTAGCCCTGGTCGGGGCGGGGAGGAAAGCTCAACCCGCTCCCCTCCAAGGGACTCCGGGAAGGAACACCCAGGCGCGGGGGCAGAGACTGCACTGTTCTCGTCCGGGATCTGGATTTTATAGTCTGGATCTGGATTTTTTACATGAAAGCGGGGCCTCACGATCCTTCTGACCTTTGGGGTTTTAAGCAGGAGGTGTCAGAAAAGTTACCACAGGGATAACTGGCTTGTGGCGGCCAAGTGTTCATAGCGACGTCGCTTTTTGATCCTTCGATGTCGGCTCTTCCTATCATTGTGAAGCAGAAATATTTTTAATAAAATATAAAAATTAGCATTAAGTCCTTAAACTTTAAAATTATTAATATCTCATTTATACTGCTCTATTCATATTTCTAATATATTACAATGACTTTAAAAGATATATTAGTATAATATCTCTGTTATTATTATGCTCTAATGATGAATCTTCTATTTTTTGTTCCTTGCCTTAATTCCCCCTATATGTTTTCAGGTTAGTAGTTCCAAGTTAGCTTATCTTATCTTTTCAGCAACCTTTACATCATCTTTCTTTTTTTTATGATCTTCTGATACTTTTAGCAATTTTATGTTTGAGTCTCTATTCTTTTTCATAGATCTTTATCAATGTAATTAAAGTATACTTTAGATGTTTATTATAAGAACAGATAAATATAGTTTTCTTTTATTGCAAATTTAATTGAATAAAATTTATGTAGTTAAAATGTAAGGAGTTTTGGTGTGTTTTGGTTTTGCTTTTTATGACATTCCTAGTGGTGCTTGGAACTATTCTTGGATCCTTGATGGGGAGTGCCCACTGGCAGTGCTCAGGCAGAAACATATATGGTGCGAGAGATTGTCCAAAATAGCTGCATGAAAGACAAATGTTTTACTTCTGCTACTGTCTCTCATTGTATAAATATATTTTCTTGTATTTATTGAATTGATTCTATGATTGTTTCATTTGATATGTTAATATTATTAATTATTTAGACTGATTTCAAAGTTAGACCAACGTGAGATTTTGTGTTGGCAGTGATTTCAGTAATGCTTTATTTTCTCATGATAGCAATGGCAAATAAGTATGGATGCACATTATGGTATTATACCCAGGACACCACGACAATACCATGGGTGCAGTTAAAATTAGAAAACTTATTTTATGAAAATAAAATTGATTTGTTAACAGTGAAACAAAAATTTATTTTTAGATTAAATAATTGTATTTAAACATGCAGACATACTTATGAACCTACAAATGTGCATCAACTATTTTTCATTGAATTTATAAAATATTTAATTTCTTCCTCAAGAAAATAAGATATTTTTGATTTAACCATTGCTAGGAAATTTTAAGAAAGTACTTATCTTCTCAACCAATATTTCCAAAACCTTTAAACAATTCATTCAAGTTTTAGTCTCTATACTCTTACATCTAAAATTACCAGAGCCACCACTTGCAGTGCCTTGGGGCTTCCAGGGCTACACCCATTGATGTTGAGGCCTCCAGCACTTTACCAACCAATGCCTCATACATGCAAGGCATTAATATTAACCCCTAAACTGTCTCTATGGCAGCAAAAGTTTAAAATTTTAGAAATATTTTTCAAAGAAGTTTTCAAAGAAGTTGAAGTTTAATTTTGTTACATTGTTTCAATTTTTTTAAAGAAAGGAGCAGTATGTTTTTTGTTAGCCCAATAGACTTAATTTAAAATCTATTAGTTTAATCATTATTAGGGCTGGAGCGATAGCACAGCTAATAGGGTGTTTGCCTTGCATGTGGCCAACCTGGGTTTGATTCCTCCATCCCTCTCAGATTGACCAGCAAGCTACCAAGAGTATCCTGCCCACACAGCAGAGCTTGCAAGCTGTCTGTGATGTATTCGATATGCCAAAAACAGTAGCAACATGTCTCACAATAGAGACATTACCACAATGGTGCCTGCTCTAGCAAATCCATGAACAATGGAGGACAGTGCTACAATGCAGTGCTATTCTTACATACTTGATTAAACTGGTTCTTACAAACATAAACTTATCAAAAATGAATTGAGAACTTTAAGTTTTCCACCTTCCTTTGAACCTTGGCAAATGCAAAACAAAATATAATATTAAATATAATTCATGTTAAGGTGGGCTGGAGCAACAGCACAGTAGTAGGGCATTTGCCTTGCACGCGACAGGCCTGGCTGAACCAGGTTCGATTCCTCCCTCCTTCTCGGAGAGCCAGGCAAGCTACCGAGAGTATCTTGCCCGCACGGCAAAGCCTAGCAAGCTCCCCATGACGTATTCAATATGCCAAACACAGTAATAAGTCTCAAAATGGAGACATAACTGGGCCCGCTCAAGCAAATCGATGAAAAACAGGAGGACCGTGCTACCCGTGCTATCATGTATGTTAAGGTAAATGAAACATAAATCTAATGTGATGACATATTCTAATATCCCAAATTTCATAAGCACATATCTTAGAAAATGTTTTAATGATCTATATATGTATGTATGGCCCTCCCGTTGATCGTCGATTTGCTTGAGCGGGCCCAGTAACGTCTCCATTGGAGACTTTGTTGTTACTGTGTTTGGCATATCGAATACTCTCGGTAGCTTGCCGGGCTCTCCGAGAGGGGCGGAGGAATCGAACTCGGGTCGGCCATGTTGGCCGCTTGTAAGGCGAACGCCCTACCGCTGTGCTATCGCTCCAGCCCTATGTATGTATAATCCTGCATTTTTAAAATAAAAAGTGAAATTAATATAAACCTACTTTGTATTTATATATTAGCTGTATTATTTTGAAAAAGATTCTCATATATTTATTAATACAAGAAAAAATTTAAATAGGCATAATAACATAATTGCAATAATTAACTATATTCTTGACAGGTCAATTTTAAAGAGAAACAGTTAAGGTTATTTTTGAAGTTTATATTTTTCTCAATAAAATATATAATTATACTTTCCTTCTAAGTGATTTTGCAATTGTATTTGGCAGTCAACATGACACATGGTCATAGAAGACCTGATAGCAAAATATATTAATAGATACAGGAAAGTAGCTAACTCCCCATAAGAATCATGACTCTTGACCTATTCTGCTACACTATCAAATGCAACTTGAATCACTTTCTTAGAAAAATATTTGTTTACCAATGAATAATCAATGATTTAATTTGGAAAGATGGTAATGATTATTTCAATTCATGCTCTCAGAAATATTCAGTACTCATAGTGCATTGGCCCCACTCATCATTGCACATAGTATTTTCAAAGGGTTGGATTCTGAAGATTCTGTGCACTCAGTTTCCAGCAGAGAGAGGAGCTCCCACACTATGAAGCAATTCTGGACACCAAGTAATATCGTATGAGTCAATTCAATTCTATTTACACAAATATAGCAACAGACTCATAGATTAAGTTTCAGTCTCATAGCTATCCTTTGGGCAGAAGGGGTGAGTGGGATGTGGTGGTGATTCACAAGCCTGTTAGTTCAGCTTCTGATCAAGATGCTGCAGATAGAAGGTTCATGACTTCCCCTGTGTTCAGTTAGCTATAAACTCACAAAATATATATCTAAAAGTTTGCATAGCTCTTCAATTTTCTTTGTTAAATTCTTCTAGCTCTTATTGCAGTATTTGTGTTATGACATACAAGGAGTGATAGCACAGCGGGTAGGGCGTTCGCCTTACAAGCGGCCAACATGGCCGACCCGAGTTCGATTCCTCCACCCCTCTCGGAGAGCCTGGCAAGCTACCGAGAGTATTCGATATGCCAGACACAGTAACAACAAAGTCTCCAATGGAGATGTTACTGGGCCCGCTCGAGCAAATCGACGATCAACGGGAGGGCCTTTACCTTTAGAAAAAAAATATGTTATTTCATGAATCTATAGTTTTACATTATTCTCCTTCTGAATAATGTAATTGCATGAGTCCTATTTTTTTTATTTTTTTGGGGGGGAGGGATTCCATCTGTTTGGACTGATATACACTTCATTCAAATACTCAGAAACAATAACAATGCTTTCACATAGTGTCTTTGTGTCACCGAATTGCATATACTTTTATCATTTCTGGTGATCAGTTCATTTGATTAATTACATACTTAGCTAGTCATATTTCAAAAAATTCTATAGGTGGTTTTCTATTTTTTTTGTACAAAATAATTTGTTTTCTTTGCCATTTGAACAAAGACATTTTCAGAACAAATTTGGGTAATGAGTTCGGTTTTATTTTTTTAAGTCTTAAAATTCTCTGCTGTTTTCAGATTGACAAATTGTTGAATTTATTTTCATGGTTAGTGTCATTTTAAGAACCACCCATATTAGATTATACTAAAAAGTTCTACCACTAACTAAATTCAATAATATTTAGGGATAATGAACAGATGTTGCTTTCACATTACTTAATGGAATAATTCAGTCTTACATCATAATCACCCATGCTCTCCAAACAACTGCACAGAATATGAGGCTGCAAAATGTGATGCTTTGCTTAGAATACTAAAACTATAGTAGTAGAATGATATATTTTTACATTTTATTACAACAAATTTTCAAACCATATGCAATAAGATGACCACCCTATTATATACCAAAATGCTGATGTTAATGAAATGGGTTGAAATATTTTGCCTCAGCAGAAACATTTCATAGGTGAAATAAATATTTTTTTACTATAACACTAAAGAAGGTTTTAAAATATTTAGAATTGCAGCTTATTCAAGGAAAATGTTCAAAACACTAAATATCACTCATTAAATTCATATCTAGTATTTTAGGAAGTTTTCCGGGTGTAATTTTGTGCAAAATAATTAATTGCTGTTTTAAAATAAGAAAAATTCAAAATTATTAAAAGGTTTATCATAAATCACATGGTTGTATACAATATAATATATTTGTTATATTCTGGGAAAATAGATTTATAAGCTATCTTTTCAGTATATCTGTTATCCTTATCTCTCTGTATTCATTGAGTCTTACAGAACCAAATTGTATCTTTAACACAGTAGTGAGTTATTTAGGAATAAGTCCTCTTCATTAATTCAAATCATCTTAAATGATTTCTTAATTTATATGTGTGCACTTATAATTGAGTAGGTATTTTGAAGCTTTTTAATTCTAAATTATATGACCTGAGGAAAAATATATATTTGAAACAATTTTAGAAAAAAATGTTTTGATTATGTTTCCTTTCGGAGATGAAATTTTCATATAAAAAATTTCTACTGGGAACTTAGCTCTTTGGTAACTTAATACACTAGGAAGAATTGTGCGAGGGTGTGG